ATAATTGACACGGTAAACGTATACGATATATATTATATAAGATCACCACCAAAGTAATCCATGTTCTGCAATAGGAAATTACTTTGTACCATAGAAAAAGCTCGAGGGCAAAGTTGCTACTTACCCGGACTTTCCATCCCGAATTACAGGGGCGAAGGAAAAGAAAAAGAGGGTAGAGCCGGGTCAACGTGGACAAGAGAGACTTTATGCTCGAAATGCCTTTCATCGAGGCACCTTTAGGAAATCGAAAAAAAAAGCAGCCTCCTCGTCTCAATAGAAATTCGAAAGCTTTCGACATCCAGTGAAAACTTCGTTCCGGATGTCAGGCGACAATTCTCAAGGGTCGCCAAACGTGAAATGGTGTGGCCAGCGGGTATCACACTCCGAGAGTAAAGGCGGAGATCGAGATGGACGCGGTAACAACCGAGTAATTGGACGGGCCAACCGTTCCTCATATTGCAAGTCACCAAGATTTTCAGCTGTCCGGCATACGTATCATCTTATTATGTAAAGGAACCACGTTCCCCACGGTAGTCCTTGGATAATAAGCGATAAGCACGTGGCGTGCTTGGAGATTGTTCGCAATTCCAAGAAGAATTTCAGATTCTCTCTCTCTAAGCTTCCCCTTGATATATCCTAGTAAGTATCCGCCAACCCTTACTCTCTGCCACAACTAAATCCCGAAGGGAAACAATTTTCCTTAACGCGATGCACCCGTGTTGTATCCATGATATCCCCTGGAACCTCAATATCCTTGGGAGCCATCTTGACTCGATGCAATTTCTACTGTGTTTCGTATGTACAAAGAGACAGTACTAGTCGGTTTTGCAGTTTGACAAACTTCTCTTCTTTCAGCATCAACACCGAAGAAACGGGAAATTGCGCGTTCTGCTACTTGTTTACGCAGCCGAGCTCCTATAACGGTGTGAGACTTCGAAAGATCGTTAACTTAGTTCATCGACGGGGAAGAGACCTGGTGAAAATAACAAAAAAAATGAACGAGGATACCACGAGAAGGAATTGTGAACTAGAGAGGAAGAGCGGAATTACCGCGAGGAAGAAGGCCTGAAATTTGTAGATACATCATCCCCTTGACTTTACCTAATGCCACAGGGTAACACTTCGCGAGACTAGAGGGACCGAAATGGCAGGCGAAAATACAAAGGGTGTCTTTTCGACTTGAAGTCGTTTAGTTTACGTCTCCCGCCAATCGAGGATGTCCTACGATATCCCCGTTATTCCACGTACGTATAGAGGTAAACTCCTTCACTTTTCTTATCCGTATCCCAAGGGAGTTTCTCTGTCGGCTTTTTCTATGGAGCACTTGACAGAGCTTTCATTGTTTCTCAGTTCGTCTCGGGGAGTCGAACCGCGACGGGATGCTCTTTCGAATACGTTGTAAATTACAAAGTACTCCCTTGGGTAAGGAGATTGGATGGTTGGGGGGGTTCGGTGAATTTATTTTTACGCGAATGAAATCATGAAGTAGCACGCATGCTTTTCAGACTTTATCTCCCGTCTTATTATTTTGTATTCGACGGAGTGATTTCAATACCAGGTATTCGATGGAACGTTATAATTTCAAATGGCTCTGAAATCACCCTCGACCCTGGATATCGCGTGCATAGAAATGCCAGTCTTACGATCAACCCCATCGTTCTGGGAACTGACCAAAGTCTCTTATTCGAGGAAGGTGTATGCAAGACGATATCAGGTTTACTTCAGGTTGGTAATTTTAGGCCTGTCATTATAGACTGTATAGACATCATGGAATCGGTTGTACGCATATATCTCTATTACCTGTGAGTAATATAAGTTCCTTTCACTTGATATAATCAGTCACAAAAATCTGATACCGTGTAATATAAGCTTTGAAAAAAATTGTTCATTTGTTTTTACCTGTCTTATTGCGTTTTAATTATACATTGACAAAGGATTCAAGTTTTGTTGGAGTGTAATATGGTACAAAGATCTTCTATTGTTGTATAAAAATAATCTTCTTATTTACGCCGTAATACCTGAAATTATTATTTAGTTAATTAAAAACTCTGCAATGAGAGAACAGGCAACAGTACAGTGATATGGAAATAGGAGATGTGTCAAAAATTGAAGTTTAAACATGATTAAAATATAAACAGAGCTCATGCAATATCCAATAGGCCAAAGGATAAAATCAAGGAAGCTATCTCAAATAACCTATTGGACTAGATAGATTTCCTATTAATTCTTTCAAAAATCGTAGAACGTTATCTAATCACATGTATATCCTTTTTGTCGATTTACGACGATCATCCATCTTTAAGGGTTCAACTCAATTGAAAGAACCTCAAAATAAATGGATCACGTCGTGTAAACAAATATCCAGCTGTTTTTTCTGTGCCGCTGGCTATATATGTATTTACATACATGGGCCATCCACTTATGAATATGTATGTACATTCGAAATCTCTACAAACGAATGAAAATTGTGTATCTTCCGAATCCCCTCTCGGCACTTTCAAGCTACCAATTCAAATCACGCCCGCAACGAATCGATGCTGTCTCGGCAGTTTGCGGACGTGACACCTTTGTTGCAAGCTCGAATTGATTTGTCCTGTGAAAAGCACGCTTGAACCCCAGCAAAGTGTCGTTTGCCAACGTCCGAGAATTTAAGCACAATCACCTCCCCTAAGGACTTTCACCGTTAAACGTTGGCAGCACTGCTCGTACAACATCGGCAAACGTCGGGAAAGCTCGAGTCGAAGGTAAACGAATAAAAATGTAAAGGATTGAAAGGGATAGCCTTGTACATTGTTCTATCCATCTTCTGAGTGTTTAACGCGACCCTCGACCCCAAGTCCTAATTCAGTTGGCAGTCTTGGGGAGTGTCAGGCCGATGCCCGACCCAAAGAAATCCTACCAGCCTAACGTAATCCAAGTAACCATCCCTTGATCGATCGAGAACCTCCATTGGCAGTGATTTAAATGGAGACGGGCATCTTGGGACAGAAGCCAGAGAGAAAATTCAAAGAAACACATTTTTCCTCTTTCACGCAAATACTTTGATCATTTTCTCGATACGAAGTGCCTAGTTTTTTGTATGTTTTTTTTTTTTTTCATTCTAACAAATCACACAACTTCAGTGTACAGTATGTGCAACGAGTAGTGTGTATTTTCGAAGACTAATTTTGTATAAGTTAAAAGGTTAAAGAGATCCTTAGACTTCACGTTTTATTTGTGCACAAACTTGTATATAGTATAAGACCATGTGGCACCATAGGAAAAACTGGGAATATAGAATACCTACCTGCCACCCTCCCAACCCAACGATCTTGGAGGTTGTCGCAACGTAATTCAGATAATACATATTGAATTTGCGGATCACGTTTGATGTTACGCCGTGGGCGTCAGGGGATTGCGGAACGAGAACCTGAGTTGTTCGGCTTTATACACTGAGGAATAAAGAGAAATAACGTTAATATAACGTTATTAAAAGCAAATAGAAGAACGATTTGATCTTGTAGCCGTCCAACGTCCACATTGTCCTCTAGATTAGTTACGTCGATGTGACCAATTTTTTGTCAGAACATTCACTAAGTGCTAATCTACTTATTTCTCCGATTAATGTTAAAAAATGTTGGATAAAAATGGACACCGTCGAAGATCTCTATAAAGAAAACGACTATGAAGTAACTATAATAGACGAAAATTGTCACGCGCACCTCGGAAAAAAGTTATTCAAACTATGAGAAACAAAAATGCAGATGAATCTATAACGCTTTCACTTACCCTTCATCCCAGGGACTTCACCCCTATCTTTCGGCTGTTCACGAGGCACCCTCATGGCTACCCTTCAGTGCCTTCCCCTCCTACCATCTTCATCTCATTTGCATTCCTTTGCGACCCTTCGTCTTCTCACCCCATCCACCCGTAACGCCCTCATGGCATACCACGCGAATATCAATGTTTCTCTGCCGAAACAGAAGGCACTTTCTTAGTAGGGGCTAGAAACGAAGTAACGGGAGGCGCTTGGGCGCCACTTCAGGCTCTTCACTTTTTTAAACGAGCTGCGCAATCTCGACTCCCTAGATAAATATTACTCGGTATGAAAAAAAGGTCTTTTTAGCCTATACTTACGAGTTCTTTTTTCTTACCACATTCATCTTCCATCAGAATGAGGCTAGTAGAGCCGTAAAAGAAATAATCAGGAATGATAATTATCTACGTCCATTTCGATTGGTAAGGCCAATCGTCACCGTGGCGCTGCAGTGCCAAGCTGCCATGGCTGCTCCAAAAGTATCAGGCTTGGTTCTATTCAAATTGTTTATTAGTGCTTAGTAATCGACTATCTGTGACTTTACGCGCAGTCATTGTTGTAGTATACAACTTGCCACCAAAGTGCGTATTGTTAATTCGTATTGTCAATAAGTTACCTAATGGAGGATGGCGAGTTCTTATGGCTTGTTGTATATCGCAAGACGTACCTGCATCTTGTAGATGGTAACGAGTTCAGAGTTAACATAAGCTAACCAGGGTAGCGAGATTATTGTTTGCATGCTAATGCAAAATTACAGTTCTTGGTTTACTATTCAATCAGAAAGTTGTGCGGAGCTCATTAAATTTCGAGTCAAAGCTTGAGGCTTTAAGGGAGGGTGGATGGATTTCTGATGCGCTGAATTGTAGGATTCGGAGCATGAAATATCAATTAACCGATAAATTGTGTCTATTTAATCGGCTATTTGCCATGACCTTTCCTTTATAGCCTTAGATAAGCGTCAGAGATACGTCATTAATCATCCTTCGCGCAAACACTTCGTTATACTATGGCATACGTGTACAGGGTGTCTTAAAGTTACTGGCTATACAGGATACAATGATATTACTGGCACAACCATAAGTAATGAGAATTACTCTCCTTTTATTACAAAGTGCTTAATTCTTTAATTAGGCCTAAATCTAAATCTATATTTACGAATTTTCGTTCTTTGAGGTTGAATGGAATAATTTTATTCTACCAATAATGCATGAAATAATACTTTTTTACTCATATAGTACAATAGATATATAATATATTAAAAATTGCATTATACATATAACAAATATAATATAATAAACATGGATAATTCAATTATTGAGTGCATATTCAGTAACACTGGGTAGATCGATTATTTTGTACTTAAATATTTTCCTTCGTTATCTTCCCTGGTTCTAATATTAAACCAGAAACTAATAACATTCTAAGGCACACAAATTTTAACTAAGTCACCGTAACACGATCGTGAAGATCACGAAGCTCGAGCTTCTTGACTTGTATTAATTTTCTTGTTTGTCGATAACAATCTCTAATTAGAAACAATTTTATTATCAGACTTAAGGATCGTGGCAATATCCTTTGTAGCACTTTATTCTTATGATTATTATCCGTCATCGAATTTGCCATTGGTTTGCGTTCTTTCCACCTACCCTTCCCGTAATTCGCTTATGCCTATATCGCCATTCGTTTTGTCCCTTCATATCTGCCACCCCCCCCCCTTTGCATTTGCATTAATTGTATTAAATGCTGGAGAGTTTGCAGATTTCCATTATACGGGTACGTCGACCGTATGAAGCGATTTTAATTGCAGTGAAACTTGTAAATTGAAATTTAGATCGGATGGGTATACATAATTTCATGAAAATATCTAGTTTTAATGATGTCATTCTTATTTTAATAACAAGATCAAATACAATAAGTTTCTTTTTCAAGCACTTGTTGAACCAGAGTAGTGTTCTGTAGTGCTTCGTTTAATACGCGAATAACAATGGATGAGTTTATCGAAAGTATTTATTGCAGATTTCTTCATAAATTTTCAAGTTACAACAGATTATTTATTGCACTGCTGTGATTTTACAAATATACTACATGGTATATAATTAGTTGAAGAGAACTTTGATAGACTTTTAAAATTCTAAGGCTCAAACGGCGGCTATATAAAGAAATCTCGTCTTTCCAAATGGACTCTAGAAATCTTTTATCGCAAAGGAGCTTTTTCCACTCACGTGAACATTCTCAGCCCTTTTGCCCAAGGATCCCTTACAAGGATTGCTGATCGGTCGAGTGGACCTTTTCAAGAATGGATCGATGAACAACACGTGTTTCAGAATAATTTAGAAATCCTTGCTTGACCTGCTCTCGTTACTTTTACCCGTAAAACTCTTCAAGACAGATTAAAGTTTGAACTCAAGGAAAGTGACACTTGATCTCTTAATGACATTACAGGATTTATAAGAATTTCTTGGAATACATAGAATCTTTCTTTTCCGATATCTAGATGCGATTTTAGGATTTTTTAAATATTATTTTATATTATATATTAAATTTAATTTAGATACATTTGAACCAGACTTTTAAAGAGCTTTAATGGTGGAATTGTTATTCTTACTTGGCACTTGCCATAAATACATCTTCGTTTCTCCACTTTTTGGAAAAACATAGCCTGCTGTATTATACACATTCCGTACCGTTGAATTCTATCAAATAAGAAAGGAATGCATGCTTGTAAAATAGGTACGCGAATTTCTTGCGAATTATTATTACGCTTTACCGTCTCGATATGACTCTCTTGAATAATCGCACATTCTTCTTCCGTTGGCTCAGTTTTGGAATTCATTCGTGAAATTATATCGCAGAGATTCTTACCCTGGATAGAATAGAAGGAGGGAGTCTTCTTGGAAATACACAAAGCGGGATACTTGAATTGACCAAGAGCCGGCGTGGGTGGTGGAACCTCAGGAATACAATCAGCGTTGCTATCCTAATACGTAAGGTTTTTATAAATTGTTGAATTCGTCAAGTAACGTCACGAGGACTCCAAAGACAGGAAGTTCGATATAATCTTATCTACCTTGATAACAAATTCTGACTCGTGATTTCTCTGCATGCTGAAACTGGGATGACTTACCGTAAAAGTAGTTCGGCTGTGAAATCTTCGATTTAGCATGTTGATAAATTTCAGTTGAGACGGTACTGCCCCCCATGTTATCCCCGGTATCCTTTGTAACCAGGGATTCTCATAAACGTCAGGCATTGCCTCTGTATATTTCCTTACCCCTTGAAATCGATACTTCCAAGTAACGGAGATCAGCTGAGATGTTGATAACCTGGATGAAAAGATAGAAAATCAAAAATCCTATTCTTTAAATAATCTTTTGCTCAAGTGACGTATAAAATGACCGAAACAAATTTTTGCTACAAAACCGATTGGCATTTGTTAAATTTATATGCATAATCGGTATATTATACCATAGCACCAACCCACTAGAATTAAATCCAATACAATATTTAGTATTGATTCAATTGGACGTAGACAAATTTTGAATTAATAAACGTCAGCGTAAGTATTTAATACTGGGATAATAAAATGTCCATTCGGTTAAAATTTAATGAAAATTAATTGTATGTTATTGCATAATCCACACTCATAGTGGAAAGCAAATATAAAATCTGATGGTGTTTGGATATTTTTTTTTTCAAAATGGTTTAACCAATCAGCCAAAGCTCACGTACAGTATTGTAGCAGTAGACAATAAGAATATTAGACTCAAGTCCTTTTGAAATTTCGTTACCATAGAATGACGAATACAATAAATTCAAATATTCCAATGCAGACGCAGATAGCAAAATAGCTGTGCTTAAGAATAGAGCGTCACACCCTTGAAAACATTGAGTAATTAAGCATTACTCAATTTAATTGACATTCCATCGTTTCGATGAAGCGCATAACTATGGAATGAAAGCTCTTTTGAATATTATTAATTATTAGCGTATAGGTACGTCATCGTAAAATCATTAAATCGTAATTCATTCTTTTTTTTTAATTTTGAAAGCTGCCAGTCCCATTAACACATCATTATAATTATATTATCGCATGCCAACTGTTGAACTCGGAAAATTTTACCAAAATCATATCCAACAAAACTGTCGGTCTGTCTAATAATAATAATTGTGCAATTGTGTGTACCCCTTATACAATTTCTGCGAGTAAGTAAAATAATCGAATAACCTCGAAACAATCTCATATATCCTGGAATGAAATTTTCGCCAAAGAATTCAATGAATGCGTGTAGTGCCCCCCCCCCGCCCGC